GAAGGGTAGAGGTGGTGGTGAAGGGTAGAGGTGGTGGTGAAGGGTAGAGGTGGTGGTGAAGGGTAGAGGTGGTGGTGAAGGGTAAGGAAGGTGGTGAAGGGTAGAGGTGGTGGTGAAGGGTAAGGAAGGTGGTGAAGGGTAGAGGTGGTGGTGAAGGGTAAGGAAGGTGGTGAAGGGTAGAGGTGGTGAAGGGTAGAGGTGGTGGTGAAGGGTAGAGGTGGTGGTGAAGGGTAGAGGTGGTGGTGAAGGGTAAGGAAGGTGGTGAAGGGTAGAGGTGGTGGTGAAGGGTAGAGGTGGTGGTGAAGGGTAAGGAAGGTGGTGAAGGGTAGAGGTGGTGGTGAAGGGTAGAGGTGGTGGTGAAGGGTAAGGAAGGTGGTGAAGGGTAGAGGTGGTGGTGAAGGGTAAGGAAGGTGGTGAAGGGTAGAGGTGGTGGTGAAGGGTAGAGGTGGTGGTGAAGGGTTAGGAAGGTGGTGAAGGGTAGAGGTGGTGGTGAAGGGTAAGGAAGGTGGTGAAGGGTAGAGGTGGTGGTGAAGGGTAGAGGTGGTGGTGAAGGGTAAGGAAGGTGGTGAAGGGTAGAGGTGGTGGTGAAGGGTAGAGGTGGTGGTGAAGGGTAAGGAAGGTGGTGAAGGGTAGAGGTGGTGGTGAAGGGTAGAGGTGGTGGTGAAGGGTAAGGAAGGTGGTGAAGGGTAGAGGTGGTGGTGAAGGGTAAGGAAGGTGGTGAAGGGTAGAGGTGGTGGTGAAGGGTAGAGGTGGTGGTGAAAGGTTAGGAAGGTGGTGAAGGGTAGAGGTGGTGGTGAAGGGTAAGGTAGGTGGTGAGTGGAAGGGAAGGGAAGGGAGTACTGGGAAAATGGGAAGGGAGGATCGAGACAGGGAAGGAGACGAGAGAGCGTCCCTAGGGCCCCGCCTGCACAAGGTCATTGATGTCCGCCCCAACACGCCTCCCACTTACAAAGTATTACTGTAAGTGTATAGTGCACGGCAGTTAATATATTCTGTATACGTAAAAGTGAAGAAAAATAATTAATAAAATAAAAATAATAACCCATATGACATTTGGCTTGTCTTAAGAGTATTGCGGACCAACTAGTTAATGAGGCCACGATGTTTGGCACACATACACGCACACACGCACGCACGCGCGCACTCACATGCACACGCGCGCACTCACACGCGCACACACACACACAGCCGGCAGCCAAGCAGACAGCACGCTGCACACGTGATTCTGTGGTCCCGGGTTCGATCCCGGGCGCCGGCGAGAAACAATGGGCAGAGTTTCTTTCACCTTATGCCCCTGTTACCTAGCAGTAAATATGTACCTGGGAGTTAGACAGCTGTCACGGGCTGCTTCCTGGTGTACTCACCTATATGTACTCACCTATATGTGCTTGCAGGATCGAGCATTGACTCTTGGATCCCGCCTTTCTAGCTATCGGTTGTTTACAGCAATGACTCCTGTCCCATTTCCTTATCATACCTAGTTTTAAAAGTATGAATAGTATTTGCTTCCACAACCTGTTCCCCAAGTGCATTCCATTTTTCTACTACTCTCACGCTAAAAGAAAACTTCCTAACATCTCTGTGACTCATCTGAGTTTCCAGTTTCCACCCATGTCCCCTCGTTCTGTTATTATTACGTGTGAACATTTCATCTATTTCCACTTTGTCAATTCCCCTGAGTATTTTATATGTCCCTATCATATCTCCTCTCTCCCTTCTTTTCTCTAGTGTCGTTAGGTTCAGTTCCTTCAGCCGCTCTTCATATCCCATCCCTCGTAACTCTGGGACAAGCCTCGTCGCAAACCTCTGAACCTTCTCCAGTTTCTTTATGTGTTTCTTCAGGTGGGGGCTCCATGATGGCGCGGCATACTCTAAGACGGGTCTCACGTAGGCAGTGTAAAGTGCCCTAAAAGCTTCCTCATTTAGGTTTCTGAATGAAGTTCTAATTTTCGCCAGTGTAGAGTACGCTGCTGTCGTTATCCTATTTATATGTGCCTCAGGAGTTAGATTAGGTGTCACATCCACTCCCAGGTCTCTTTCTCGAATCGTTACAGGTAGGCTGTTCCCCTTCATTGTGTACTGTCCCTTTGGTCTCCTGTCACCTGATCCCATTTCCATAACTTTACATTTACTGGTGTTAAACTCCAGTAGCCATTTCCCTGACCATCTCTGCAGCCTGTTTAAGTCCTCTTGGAGGACCCTACAATCCTCGTCTGTCACAACTCTTCTCATTAATTTTGCGTCATCTGCAAACATTGACATGTATGATTCCACTCCTGTAAACATATCATTTACGTAAATTAGAAAGAGGATTGGTCCCAGCACCGATCCTTGAGGTACTCCACTTGTTACTGTTCGCCAGTCCGACTTTTCGCCCCTTACCATTACCCTCTGGCTCCTTCCTGTTAGGTAGTTCTTCACCCATACTAGGGCCTTTCCGCTTACTCCTGCCTGCCTCTCAAGTTTGTATAGCAGTCTCATGTGCGGTACCGTATCAAAGGCCTTTTGGCAGTCAAGAAATATGCAGTCTGCCCAGCCTTCTCTGTCCTGCCTTATCCTTGTTACTTTATCATAGAATTCTAAAAGGTTTGTTAGGCATGATTTCCCTGTCCAGAACCCATGTTGGTGCTTGTTTACAAACCCAATGCTCTCCAGGTGTTCAACAAGTCTTAGCCTAATTATTCTTTCAAGTATTTTGCAGGGGATGCTTGTCAGTGATACGGGTCTGTAGTTAAGTGCCTCCTCCCTATCACCTTTTTTGAAAATCGGTACGACATTTGCCTCCTTCCAGCAACTGGGCAATTCTCCCGACATAAGTGACTCATTAAAGATCATTGCCAGAGGCACGCTGAGAGCCTGCGCTGCCTCTTTAAGTATCCACGGTGATACTTTGTCTGGTCCAACAGCTTTATTTGCATCCAGTGTTGTCAACTGTTTCATTACATCCTCTGCTGTCACCTCTATATCTGATAGTCTTTCATCTTGGGTAATCTCTTCTAACAAAGGGAGCTGCTCAGGCTCGGTTGTGAACACTCCATGGAATTTTGCATTCAGTACCTCGCAGATTTCCTTGTCGCTTTCTGTATATGCCCCTTCTGTTTTCCTCAGTCTTGTCACTTGGTCATTTACCGACATCTTCCTTCTTATATGGCTATGTAGTAATTTTGGTGTGTGTGTGTGTGTGTGTGTGTGTTTGTGGTGTGGGGAAAAAAATAGTAGTAGAAACAGTTGATTGACAGTTGAAAGGCGGGCCGAAAGAGCAGAGCTCAACCCCCGCAAGCACAACTAGGTGAATACACATACCACCACCACAGCGGTTCGGATTCGTAGTCCTGAGGGTCCGGGTTCGATCCCAGGTGGAGGCGGAAACAAATGGACAGTTTCTTTCATCCTTAAGCTCCTGTTCATCTAGCAGTAAATAGGTACCTGGGAGTTAGACAGCTGCTATATGGGCTGCTTCTTGGGGGGTGTGTAACAAAAAGAAGGCCTTGTCGAGGACCGGGCCCGCGAGGACGCTAAGCCCCGAAATCATCTCAAGATAACCTCGAGAAGATAACCTTGTATACCCAGGGACAATCTACACTATTATGAATGTTGGCGTACGTCAACACCTGTAAATAATTCATTAATAGCGTAATTACCTGCTGGGGGGTAATGATAGTAACTATATTAGTAACTATATATAGATAGTAACTGACCATTTATGTAAGTAACATTATCGCCGTCGCCGCCCACACGTCCCCAGCATACTACTGAGCAACTCGTCCTCCTCACAGCACGTCCTATGTTGACCTATACTTTACCTTGGGCCAAAAAAATTGTCGTGCAAGAAAATAGCAGCGGCTGGCGAAGTTGACCAGAGGACGCGAAGAGGAATGTCCCGTTTTCTGTTCGTGGGTTCTCTGGTAGGTTACTGTAGTACGACGGTTTCTCGACGTTGAGAATCCTGGCGAGAACGAGCTGCATGAGCGCTTCTTTCGCGCGCCTCCCACGCGTAGCTTTCGCGCGCCTCCCACGCGTAGCTTTCGCGCGCTTTTCTCGCGCACCTCCCACGCGCAGCTTCAATGCACTTCCCTGGCGCACCTCCCACGCGCAGCGCTGACACACCTTCCTCGCACACCTCAGCTTGGGTGGGCGTCTGCACTGGCCGCAGCTGACGCAATCTTAACTGCCTCTTGGTATAGAACACTGGCACTTCGACCTTGAAAACTTTCTTTGCCCTATTTTTGAGGAAATAAATGTTAGGTGCGCGCCAGAACAGGATAACGTCCACTAGACTGTGTCATCTGCTTGGAAATATCTTACGCCTTCTCGTGTCTAGAAAGACTTAAGTACACATTATGTCTCCTGTTGTATGGTTACTTTGCTACTACGCTCCCAAGATTGTTGGGAGTTACACAATCGAGTACCTCTCCCTCTCTCTCCCTCTCCCTCCCCCTCCCTCTCTCTCATATCTTTTTTTCTGACTAAGACTATGGGTCATTAGAAATGCTGATGCTCCTGATGAAACTGTCAGCTAAGAGCTCTTATCCTGTATCAGCTTATCTGACATCCGGCCTTAGAGACTCATTTATGTTAAGAGCTTTTCACTAGTTTCCATTAGGAATACATGCTATGTAATGCTACGTTAAAATCGTGTTAGTTACTGGATGAAGCTGGGACGAATTGTGTACCAGAGCCTTCATGTGATCGGTTGACTGGATTTAACACGTATCAACTTGTTCAGCAAATAGGTTCCAAATGCAAAATTAGTCTAAGAATGAATGATCGCGGATGGAATGATGTTCTTGAGAATGACACAGTCTGCATGAGGCTGCTGATTGCTGCCTTGGGTTGTGGTTGCCAACTTGTAGTTGTCCATGACGTTGGGTCAGATGAGGAACCATGAGAACCTTTGCCTTATACATAATAATGCCATCAACATCTCTCCAGTGTTGAAATCCCTTATGTACTGACCAGTGCACTCAAGCTGGGTCAAGACTAGAGAGGAGTCTTCTTACATGGTTCTCTTCCTTGCTCAGAGTTTGGCAAAGGTATAGTGGGCAGGCCAACAACTAGGAGAGCGGTGCATACACTAGTTGGGAGCAAACTTGTGCTTTGTGCAAGATTTTGCAACCACTGCTGTCGAAGTGTAAGGACTATAAGCTTCTTGGCTGCCTTGTTTGCTGGGTTCAACATTTTGTCCTTCATGGTTATTGAGGAATCAGACTTCAACCGCAAGACGTCAACTTCATCACTGAACTCTAGTTCTTGCCACTCTATACCTCTCCCGGCTGCAGACTCACATTGTCTCGCTGTTATCACCTGTGTGTTTCAGCCACAACGGTAACCTTCCACTGCCTGTCCCACCCATCAGAATTACATTTCACCTTTGTGAATGTACATTAATGACACTATGTAAAAGACACATCAAACACTTTATGTAGGGCATACGTAAATCTGTGTATCTATGTATTTACATATGTAGGTTAGCTTAGCATTTTAAAAGCACCGAATCACCTTCTGTGGTTGAGTGTTCAACTGAGTGTTGTGTTCATGTTGTGTTGTGTTTGAGTGTTCTTGAACTATATGTTTAACACATCTCTAACCCTGTCCATGGAGGACAGAAGAAAATGTATATATGCTGGTTAGCATTGTAAATGTGTGGCCACGTCTGTGGTAGAAAAAAAAACTGCCTGTCCCAGGTAGATATTACTGCAAGTCTGTCATTAATGACCCTCATAGCAGTTATTATTTATTCTTTTCCATATGTAAAGGTTTGAGTACCTTGATCAGGAATGGGGTGTAACAGCTCGATGAAGAAGATATTCCACAATAAAGAACTCGGCACACTTCCCTGTGGTATACTGACACCAAGTTGCTTCCAGATTGTGCACCATTGAGGACTACATTTAGGATCCCTTCTCGAAGAGTTCCTTATTGGCAGACCAACCAATACACTGCAGGGTGGATGGGAGTTATCTGAGCAACCCGTCCTCAGATCAAGTCCATTCCATCCAGCGGTAAACCCCAAAGACGCGGTCATCAATTTTAACTTGTTATTCATTCAAAACAGGATTTTTCTCAAATATACATTAATATTGTTATATATTACCATATTGCGCATATTTAGGCATTGGATAGGTTAGGTGTTTAGGTTCTGTTGGCGATTATTTAGTGTTTGTAGTACGTGGGTGACGAATTTACAGAGCTGTGGTTCGAACATAAGTCGTTAGCGAAGCACTTCTTCCGGAAGTGTTCGGACGTCATCAGTTGTGAGTCGTGTGTAAACCGTTTTTCATTCATAAACAAGAGGGAGGGGGGGGTTGGCGGGTGTATGGAATGGACTTTGACCTGTGTTTACAAGGCCGGGCTGCTGAGTCACCATGCCTCTAGATATGGGAGATACGAGATAAACAAACTCTTCCCCAACTCTCCGTCTGGCCCCATTCCTCGGGTTCACGGACCCAACGACACTGGATGCGCCACTGGAGCCGGTCGGCCGAGCAGACAGCACGCTGGGCTTGCGATCCTGTGGTCCTAGGTTCGATCCCAGGCGCCGGCGAGAAACAACGGGCAGAGTTTCTTTCACCTATGCCCCTGTTACCTAGCAGTAAAATAGGTACCTGGGTGTTAGTCAGCTGTCACGGGCTGCCTCCTGGGGGTGGAGGCCTGGTCGAGGACCGGGCCGCGGGGGCACTAAAAAAAGCCCCGAAATCATCTCAAGATAACCTCAAGATAACCTCAAGATAGCCACTCCGTAGAAACTACAACTGGTGTCTCTAACATGAAGCGTAAAAAATATAACTTTTGACTATTCATAAACGTGCAAACCCAACCAACCTACCTAACCAATCGAGGCTTATGCATAGAAAATGGCAATATTACGGCGCTTTAATTTTTATCGATTTGGCCAATTCCGTAGCAAATGCGAAGTATTAGGTGAGAGGACAGGCGGTTGAGAGATGCAGCGGTTCCGTAACTCCCGTGGCGATACAGTAGACAGTGAGCCCAGGTCCCCCCCCCCCCACCATCTTGAGAATACAGATGAGAGAACATACCTTATAAGACAACGCTGGAGAAGGTTCAGACGTATGCCACCAGACTAATCCCAGAACTAAGAGGCATGAGTTACGAGGAAAGGCTGCTTGAATTGCACCTCACGTCGCTGGAAGAAAGAAGGGTTCGGGGAGACATGATAACCACATACAAAATTCTCATGGGAATTGATAGGGTAGATAAGGACATACTATTTAGCACGGATATGGTACTGGCACAAGGGGGACACAGCTGGAAACTTCAAACCTAAATGAGCCACAGGGACGTTAGAAAGAACTATTTCAGTGTCATAGTAATTAATAAATGGAATGCATTAGGCAGTGATGTGGTGGAGGCTGACTCCATACACAGTTTCAAATGTAGATATGATAGAGCTCAGTAGGCTCAGGAACCTGTACACCAGTTGATTGACAGCTGAGAGTCGTACACCTAACAGCCTCGTGAAGGGTGTACACCTAACAGCCTCGTGAGGGGTGTACACCTAACAGCCTCGTGAAGGGTGTACACCTAACAGCCTCGTGAAGGGTGTACACCTAACAGCCTCGTGAAGGGTGTACACCTAACAGCCTCGTGAGGGGTGTACACCTAACAGCCTCGTGAAGGGTGTACACCTAACAGCCTCGTGAAGGGTGTACACCTAACAGCCTCGTGAGGGGTGTACACCTAACAGCCTCGTGAAGGGTGTACACCTAACAGCCTCGTGAAGGGTGTACACCTAACAGCCTCGTGAAGGGTGTACACCTAACAGCCTCGTGAGGGGTGTACACCTAACAGCCTCGTGAAGGGTGTACACCTAACAGCCTCGTGAAGGGTGTACACCTAACAGCCTCGTGAAGGGTGTACACCTAACAGCCTCGTGAAGGGTGTACACCTAACAGCCTCGTGAGGGGTGTACACCTAACAGCCTCGTGAGGGGTGTACACCTAACAGCCTCGAGAGGGGTGTACACCTAACAGCCTCGTGAAGGGTGTACACCTAACAGCCTCGTGAAGGGTGTACACCTAACAGTTTAGTGATCACAGGAGCGGCCAGTATTGCGTCATGAGCGGTCCTGGGCTGCGCGTATCCCTGCCAACCGTGCCTGTGTGCGCAGGTCGATACACCTACACAACGCCAGAGATAGCCACCACCACCTCCTTCACCACTATAAACAAATTATTGAAGAACGTATTTTTGTTTTTTAATTTGTTCTAATTAAAAATTAAGATACAGAATATTCAAATTAAAATATTAGGCTCCCGTCTCTACGTATGTCATGTTCAAAGTAAAGCTTATTACTTTGCTACGATATATATACATACAGAACTTGTATGTGAATAATGTTTGTGGTTATTCATGAATGTGCGTGAGTGAAGCATGAATGCAGTGTGGTCAATATGTGAGTGTGGGCGCGCGCGTGTAGATGGGAGTGTGTGGCAGCTGTTGTGTGGAGGAGGAGTAGTGGGAGAGCACGCGGCTCCCGGCGGCTGTTTACATGTGGCCGTGGTAGCGAGCACAGCCTCCTCTAGGAGCCTTCTCCACCCCACCCCGGCACTATCACTCTTACAGGGCTCCTTCACACACCTGCCTCCACTCTCTCACCCTAGTCTTGGGCCTCTCCTGTAAGTATACTTTATGTGTGTGTGTGTATATATATATATATATATATTAGTGATTTCTGTTCATAGCGTATTCTTTGATTGCGAGAAAAGGTCGCTGGTTCAATTTCCGCGGTGAGAGGGGGAAATTTGGGCAAGGTCTCATTTCACCTGATGACTCTGTTTACCCCACCAGCAAATTGGCACCCTGGGGCTTAACACCCGTTGTGGGATGTTATCCAGGGGGAAGGTCAGTTGACGTGTCTAGTTCCTCAACTATTAAGTATCTATAGTGTTTAATCAGACGCGTTTATCAGGAAATAATATTTCACCGATCCATCATTTTGATTGGTGGGGGATTGAAATACACGTTACCAGTCAGAGTGTTAGCATGGCAGGCTGGAGCCAGAGAGGAAATCAGTCATATGGACTACTGCTCAGAGTGGGTGGGTTGGCATGTGTCTTTTTAGGGGTTGGGTAAGAATGTATGGATATAGAAATGTGAGTGTGTGTGTGTGGGTGGGAATCTGTGTAGGTGTGAGTGAAAATATGTGCATTGGGGTAGAATATATGTGTGGGATGAAATGTGGGAGGGTAGGTGGGTGTGTGTGGGTGGGAGGGAATGGTTTGAGTATGGATGGGGTGTGCACAATGAAGGAACTAATCTATGTGTGGGTGAAGATGAAGCACTGGGAAGGGGGCTTCATGTCTCCTCTGAGCTAGGTGATAAGTCTAGTGACGCCCGCGGCTTAGTACTGATGTAAAAGTACAAGTTTATCAGAGATGTTAATTAGAAGTGGAGCGGAGATAAGCAGAGCATCCAGCGCAGCATCCAGACGTGAGAGATAAGGAAACGTCCTTGAGCACACCCAGGCGGGTCCCCCCAGGCGGGTCCCCCCAGGCTCATGGGGCTCCCCGCCCTACTTCCTGACCCGCTCTCTCTCTCTCTCTCTCTCTCTCTCTCTCTCTCTCTCTCTCTCTCTCTCTCTCTCTCTCTCTCTCTCTCTCTCTCTCTCTCTCTCTCTCTCATCTCTCTCATCTCTCTCTCTCTCATCTCATCTCTCTCATCTCATCTCTCTCATCTCATCTCTCTCTCATCTCTCTCTCATCTCATCTCTCTCTCATCTCATCTCATCTCTCTCTCATCTCATCTCATCTCTCTCTCATCTCATCTTTCTCTCTCTCATCTCATCTCTCATTTCTCTCTCTCTCCTCTCTCTCTCGTCCATCAGCACAATCCATAATATCTAAAGCTGAACAACTGTATCATAATTGTTTTTGCTAGGTTGGTCCCATTTAAATAATAAATCATAGTAGTCATATTGTACTGAGATTTTCGTGTGTGTGGGGGGGGGGGGGGACGTTGGCGCAGTCACTTGGCCCTTTTCTTTGACACCAATCACAACTGCTCATGTTGGGCACGTACCCAACACCAATTACTTGAAAAAATTGGGTGAAGCATCTGGCCTCCAACCTCGAACACACGCACTAGGTACCTAGTGTGTCCCTAGTGATAACAGAGTGGCGGGGGATCCAAGAGCTAAATCACACACACACACACTCGGCCGACCTAGGGAGCCGGTCGGCCGAGCGGACAGCACGCTGGACTTGTGAGCTTGTGGTCCTGGGTTCGATCCCAGGCGCCGGCGAGAAACAATGGGCAGAGTTTCTTTCACCCTATGCCCCTGTTACCTAGCAGTAAAATAGGTACCTGGGTGTTAGTCAGCTGTCACGGGCTGCTTCCTGGGGGTGGAGGCCTGGTCGAGGACCGGGCCGCGGGGACACTAAAAGCCCCGAAATCACCTCAAGAAATCACCTCAAGATAACCTTAAAGCTGAGTGGACAGCGCTCGGGACTCGTAATCCTAGGGCCCGAGGATCAATCCCCGGCGATAGCGGAAATAAATTGGTAGTTTCTTTCACCTTGATGTCTGTTCACCTAACAGTAAACAGGTACCTGGGAGTTAGACAGCTACTACGGGCTGCTTCCTGTGTGTGTGTGTGTGTGTGTGTGTGTGTGTGTGTGTGTGTGTGTGTGTGTGTGTGTGTGTGTGTGTGTGTGTGTGTGTGTAAAAAATAAAAAATAAAAAATAAATAAAATCATTTGATTGACAGTTGAGAGGCAGGTCGAAGGAGTCAGAGCTCAACCCCTGCAAGCACAACTAGGTGAATACAACGCTCGGGAGTCGTAGTCCTAAGGGCTCAGGTTCGATTCCAGGGTAAGGCAGAGACAAATGGACACAATTTCACCTGATGCCGGTGTTCACCAATCAGTAAATAGGTACCTTGGAGTTTAAAAGCTATTTTGCGCGGCAGACTGAGGACATTGTGTATACACACATCCCCACACATATGTGCGGACACATCACTTGTACCCAGACGCAGCTGGGGTGTTCATCCTGTCACTTGTACCCAGACGCAGCTGGGGTGTTCATCCTGTCACTTGTACCCAGACGCAGCTGGGGTTGTTCATCCTGTCACTTGTACCCAGACGCAGCTGGGGTGTTCATCCTGTCACTTGTACCCAGACGCAGCTGGGGTGTTCAACCTGTCACTTACACCCAGGCGCAGCTGGGGTGTTCAACCTGTCACTTACACCCAGACGCAGCTGGGGTGTTCATCCTGTCACTTACACCCAGACGCAGCTGGGGTGTTCATCCTGTCACTTACACCCAGGCGCAGCTGGGGTGTTCATCCTGTCACTTACACCCAGACGCAGCTGGGGTGTTCATCCTGTCACTTACACCCAGGCGCAGCTGGGGTGTTCATCCTGTCACTTACACCCAGACGCAGCTGGGGTGTTCAACCTGTCACTTACACCCAGACGCAGCTGGGGTGTTCATCCTGTCACTTGTACCCAGACGCAGCTGGGGTGTTCATCCTGTCACTTGTACCCAGACGCAGCTGGGGTGTTCATCCTGTCACTTGTACCCAGACGCAGCTGGGGTGTTCATCCTGTCACTTGTACCCAGACGCAGCTGGGGTGTTCAACCTGTCACTTGTACCCAGACGCAGCTGGGGTGTTCAACCTGTCACTTACACCCAGGCGCAGCTGGGGGTGTTCAACCTGTCACTTACACCCAGACGCAGCTGGGGTGTTCATCCTGTCACTTGTACCCAGACGCAGCTGGGGTGTTCAACCTGTCACTTACACCCAGGCGCAGCTGGGGTGTTCAACCTGTCACTTACACCCAGACGCAGCTGGGGTGTTCATCCTGTCACTTACACCCAGACGCAGCTGGGGTGTTCATCCTGTCACTTACACCCAGGCGCAGCTGGGGTGTTCATCCTGTCACTTACACCCAGACGCAGCTGGGGTGTTCAACCTGTCACTTACACCCAGGCGCAGCTGGGGTGTTCATCCTGTCACTTACACCCAGACGCAGCTGGGGTGTTCATCCTGTCACTTACACCCAGACGCAGCTGGGGTGTTCATCCTGTCACTTACACCCAGGCGCAGCTGGGGTGTTCATCCTGTCACTTACACCCAGACGCAGCTGGGGTGTTCAACCTGTCACTTACACCCAGACGCAGCTGGGGTGTTCATCCTGTCACTTACACCCAGACGCAGCTGGGGTGTTCAACCTGTCACTTACACCCAGACGCAGCTGGGGTGTTCATCCTGTCACTTACACCCAGGCGCAGCTGGGATGTTCATCCTGTCACTTACACCCAGACGCAGCTGGGGTGTTCAACCTGTCACTTACACCCAGACGCAGCTGGGGTGTTCATCCTGTCACTTACACCCAGACGCAGCTGGGGTGTTCATCCTGTCACTTACACCCAGACGCAGCTGGGGTGTTCAACCTGTCACTTACACCCAGACGCAGCTGGGGTGTTCATCCTGTCACTTACACCCAGGCGCAGCTGGGGTGTTCATCCTGTCACTTACACCCAGACGCAGCTGGGGTGTTCAACCTGTCACTTACACCCAGGCGCAGCTGGGGTGTTCATCCTGTCACTTACACCCAGACGCAGCTGGGGTGTTCAACCTGTCACTTACACCCAGGCGCAGCTGTGATCAACATGTGTTCTTTACCTGATGTTATAGTCAGGAACATTGGTGAACAGGTTTCAATGTAGAGTAAGTTACGTGTCCACAGGTGGAAGTGTACAAGCTGGTGAACTGTACAAGAGGTCCAGACTGACGTGAGTACCATAGTGCGGGGGAACCTGGTGCTCTCACTCATGAGTAACGCCATGAGGCAACCCATGCTGCCTCACTGTTATGAGTCATTCATGTTCATACCCATGTTGAGGGGTCACACATGCTCACATTGCTATTATGAGATGCTTGTGCTATTATAGAAGCGCATAGACAGTGTACGTGTGACGGGGTAAGGACGCACCACGGACCGTCACGGGCGGGAAATGATCGTTTAATCCTCATGCACTGAACGAGTGTGATGGGGGGGGGGGAAAGGAGGAATACGGTCATGGGTGTACTTGCTGGCTGGTCAGAGTGCTTCCCGCCAATCACACACCGAAACTACGACGTTGGTACAACGTTCGAACAAGTTTTAACACTTCCTAACCAGTTATAACAACCAATATAGCAAGTTGTAACAACGTTCTAATACGTCATAAACACGTTAAGCCAAGATGTAACAACTTTATTACAAGTTGTAACAAGCGGAAAATAGAGACAGATTCGGTTTGTGTTTCCAGGGTTATCTATCAGAGGACCAGGGGAGTGAGGTCTAGCTCCCTGACCCCGCCTACTGAGTGATTTAAGGATCTTAAACATATCAGTGTTTAGCTCTTCACAACAAGGCAACGAGAATACTAAGAATCATAACTTAAGTGTTTAGTAATGGGCCCTCTAATGTTATTCTTCACCTAATGGGACTAATGTTATTTTTCAGCTTTATCTTGCCCTTTTTCGGGTCCCATTTAGATCAGTTTTGTTCATACTAGAATGAACCCATTTTTTTCTAGGTCTACAGAGGCTAACAAAGGCAATCTCGGGTATTAGTAGCCTTTTAAGACAAGAGATTAAGAAAGCTTACTTTACATCCTTAATAA